ATGAGTACAGCTTCCGCCGTAGTCGATCAACGTCGTGACTGCTTCTTCTTCTCCTCTCTCTCTCTCCCTCGTCTCTCCCCCTTCGCTCTCTCTCTCTCGTCTCGTCTCTCTCTCGTCTCTCTATCTCTCTCTCTCTCGCTCTCCTCTCTCTCTCTCTCTATCTCTGCTCTCTCTCTCATCTCTCTTTCTCTCTCCTCTTCTCTCGCTCTCTCTCCTCTCTTCTCTCTCTCTGGTCTCCTCTGCTCTCTCTGGCCGGCGCGCTTCTCTCTCTTCTCCATACTCATCTCTCTCTTCTCTCGCTCTCTCTTTCTCTCCTCTCTCTCTCTTTTCATCTACTCTCTCTTCTCTCTCTCCTTCTCTCTGCTCTCTCTCTCTCTGCGCGCTCTCTCTCTCTCTGGCTCTCTCTCTCTCTTCTCTCCTCTCTCGCTCTTTCATCCTCTTTCTCTCTCTTCTCGTCTCTCTCGTATCTCATCTCTCGCTCTCTCTCTCTCTCTCTCTCTCATCTCTCTCTTCGCTCTTCTCTCTCTCTCTCTCCTCTTCTCTCTCTCTCCTCTCTCTTTTCTCTCTCCTCTCTCTCTCTCCTCTCTCTCTCTCTCTCTCTTCTTCTCTGGCTTCTCTACTCTCTTTTTTCAGCCTCTCTCATCTTCGCTCTCTCTCTCTCTCTCTCTCTAGGCGCTGTCTCTCGTCTTTCGCTGCGCTCTCTCTCTTTCCTCTCTCTCTCTCTCCTCTCTCTCCCCCGTCACCGTGTGTGTGTGTGAGAGACGGGGAGCGTGCGTGCCGTCACCCGCTGGGCGGCACATCCTCACGCGGCATGCGGTCTCGTCACTGCACAATCGTTTATAATTGACTGAGACTCCCGCGAGGCGGCCGTAGCGGCCTGGGCGACAGACTCTGTTCTACGAAGCCGTCCTCCAGGGGATGACTCGGCGCGCGCGCGAGAGAGAGAGGAGGGGAGCGGAGAAGGGTGGAGAATGAGGGAACTGAGAGAACAATGGGAGCACGACGAGAGGAGAGAGGAGAGAGACCCCAGCACGAAGGAGACGGAGACGAGAGGAGACGAAGAGGTAAGGGAGAGATGGAAAGGGGGGGGGAAGCGAAGGAGGAAAAGGGAGAGGCACAGAGAGAAGGAGAGAGCGGTGGGAGAGAAGGGAGAGAAAGATTTAGTTTGAGTCAGATAGAGGGAGAGAGATAGACAGATATGGTGAATGGCAGAGAGAGCATGATGAGGGTTCGTTGATCCAGAATTATATTTGTTATGGCTAAAAATTCTACTGCGCGTAAAATTTGTCTGTGATGGCAAAAACGTCTGTTGGGGCAGATATTCCTAGAATCCGGGAGATGCTAGATAAACAGACAAGAAGAGAAGTCGCGGAAAAGAAGGGAAGACACGTGTGGAATAAAAGCAAGGAAAAGGAGGCAGAGGAAAATGAGTGAACCAACAATATATAGTAAGGAAGTCGATGTGAACAGGTTAGCAGCAGCAGCAGCGACAGCAGCAGCAGCGACAGTAGTAGTAGTAGCAGCAGCAGCAGTAACAGCAGCAGCAGCAGTAGCAGTAGCAGCAGCAGCGACAGTAGTAGTAGTAGTAGTAGCAGCAGCAGCAGCAGCAGCAGCAGCGGTGGCAACAGCAGCAGCAGCGACGGCAGCAGCGGCAGCAGTAGTAGCAGCAGTAGTAGTAGTAGCACCAGTAGCAGCAGTAGCAGCAGCGGCAACAGCAGCAGCAGCGGCGGCAGCAGTAGTAGCAGCAGCAGTAACAGCAGCAGCGGCGGCAACGGCGGAGGCGGCGGCGGCGGCGGCACTACATCACACACGGCGTGTTTGTATGCAGTTGACGCACGCACGCACGCACGCACATATCTCCGGCCGTCGTTCTTCATGTGAAAGTCATATTAATAGTGGATTACAGACGGAATGCGGGCGGGCATGCCAGCGTGCGTGCGGGCGGGTGTGCGTGAGCGCGTGTATGTGTACGCGCGCGCGCATGTGTGTATGTGTCTGTGTGCTCACGTACGCGTGTGCGCGTGCTTGCGTGTGCGTGCTCGCGTGCGTACGGGGGGAGGGAGGGGAGAAGGAGAGGGACTGGGAGTGGAAAGGAAGTGGGCAGTGGAAGGGAGAAAAGGGTGAGTGGGAAGGAGAGCAAGTGGGGGAGTGATCATGAGGGAGACGAAATCGGAAAAGGAAAGGAGAGGGATTGGGAACGGGAAGGGAGAGGGAGGGAGAGAAGAGAGCAAGAGGGAGTGGGAGGGGAGGGGGATCAGAGAGCAAGAGGGAGTGGGAGGGGAGGGGAGGAGAGAGCAAGAGGGAAAGGGAGAGTGACGGAGAGGGAGTGAGGGAGAGAGGGAGAGGAAGTGGGCGAGGGAGGGGGAGGGAGAGGGAGAGGGAGAGGAAGAGGGAGGGGTGTGAGCGAGAAGGGAGGAGGGAGAGGGGAAGGTAGCAGAGAGGGAGAGGGGGAGAAAGGGGAAGAGAGGGAGAGAAGGAGGGAGGAGGAGAGGGAGAGGAGGAGAGGGGGTAGCAGCAACAACGGGAATATTAAGCGGTCGAACAAAGCCCGCATGATTGAGTGGCTAGCGTTGGGCGGGGGGGGGGGGCGCTGCAATCGCTCAATATCGGTTTATCCAGCAATATCAATTACTAGAGTCGTAGCCACCTCTGGATAAACGAAGTGAGAAATCTATCGCCCCCGCGCGCGCGATGCGAGCGTGGCTAATACACAGACTGCATACAATATTAGATAGAACCCTGTTTAATCCTAACTGGCAAATAGAGAGATTGCGTGTGTGCGTTCGTGCGTGCGTGTGTGCGCGTGTGTAGGTGTGTGTGTGTGTGTGCGTGTGTGTGCGTGTGTGTGTATATTTGTGTGTGCGTGTGTGTGTGAGAGAGAGGGAGAAAGAGAGAGAGAGAGAGAGAGAGAGAGAGAGAGAAAGA